ACGGATAATAATAAATGCTTCATAATTTGAACATTGTTAATTCAACTTCCTAATGTTGTTAGTTTTGTTTTGTTTTGTTTTGTTTTGTTTAAACAGTGTCTCACTGTATGGCCCAGGCTAACCTTCAATCTGAGACCCTGCTGCCACAGCCTCCTGATTCCACGCTCCGTCATGCTTGGCCTCTCAACTTTTACCTCAAAGACATTTTCACTTCCTAACTGAACCAAAGTATGTTCAAAATATGTCTGGGAGGACTGGAGAGGTGGCTCAGCATTTATGAGCACTGGCTGCTCTTCCAGAGGACCCAGGTTCAATTCCCAGCACCCACATAGCAGGTTACAACCACCACTAACTCAGTTCCAGGGGACCCAATGCCCTTTTGTGGCTGTCACGGGTACTGGGTACACGTGATGCACAGACAGACATACACGTAAAACGCCCATTCACATAAAATAAAAATCTTTTTTTTTTTTCCCCAAGTCTCATTAGATAGTCCTAACTAGCCTCAAACTCACAATCTTTCTGTCTCTGACAACCTGGGAATCGTAATGATATCACCAGCATGCTGAGCCTATAAACAATTTGGATTATAGGTTCTGAAAATTCAAACAAGAAACTACTTATCATTTCAGGCCCAAATTCAAACTTCAGTAAATATTAATTAAAATGTCTCTTCCTCCCAAATATTCCCTCTTAGGGAAAAAAAAAGTTATTCAGAGATACATTTATATTCTTGCAGATTTTTTATAACAAGATTTTGACCTTTAAGCTTTTAGACTGGTATTTTAAAAGCTAAAAATAGAACCCAAATTTATACAATGAAATGTGCCCTACAATCTACTAGCAAAACTGAAAATACCCAGAACTGGAATGCAAGAGAAAGCACCACGTCTATTCAAATTATCAAAAGTCACAACAACAGCTTTTTCTCCCCATCCCAGAAATAACCTTCCTATTTTCTCAGCAACTCAACAGGAAAATGAAGGTTTTAACCTTGAGTGGTAGTGAACCTTTTCTTCAGCAAGATCTGACTTTGCACCAAGTTTATAGCATCCAAGGCAGTTACATACAAATGCCTTATTTTAATGCCGTAAGATCCATTTTGTGAGCTGAGCTGTGGCACACACCTTTGATCCCTGCATTGGGAAGCAGAGGCAGGAAGATCTCTATAAGTTTGAGGCCAGCATGGTCTACAGAGTGAGTTCCAGGACAGCCAGGAACTATTACACAGAGAAATCTTGTCTCAAAAAACCAAAATAATAATAATAGTGATTCATTTTGTGAAAACATTTTTATTTTATAAACTTTATTATTTAAAAACTTACAAATAAAAGCATCACACACCAAAATTAGCAGGACCCAAAGTCTACAAAACTGAATGAACTTCTATATAGAATTCACATTTTGGAATAAAAGCTTTTATTTTTGGTGGTAGATAAGTACATAAAATATCTTCAATACTGAAAGTATAAAACTTAATGTGAGGCTCCACAACTTCTGTTCTGATTTTTGTTTGTTTGTTTCTTGACTCAAGGTTTCTCTGAGCAATAGCCCTGGCTGTCCTGGCACTCACTCTGTAGACCAGGCTGGTCTCAAACTCACAGAGATCCTCCTGCCTGTGTCCTGAGTGCTGGGATTCAAGGCATTCACCACCACTGCCTAAACTTAATTTTTGTATTACTATTTAATAATGTATGGGTGTTTTACCTGCATGTGTGTCTGTGCACCATAGGTATGCCCTATGCCCAGAATAGGGCACTGGATCCCTGGAACTGGACTTACAGTTCTGAGGAATAGAACCCAGGTCCATTGGAAAGCAGCCAGTGCTCTTAACAGCTGAGCTGTCTCTCCAGCCCTAATGTGAGTAAGGAGAGAATGATTTTAAGAAATTAAAGGCAGAGACCTGCCCTCACAATTTCTCCTGTTTTCCTTGTTTTTCTTGGTAATAACGAATAACAGAGTTTTGTTTTGTTTGCATGTCTATACGTGACTGGTGTACATGTGTATATGCACATTTATATAGGTTGGTGTATGTGTGCCCAAGCAATGTCCACATATGTGCACACATAAAGGCCAAAGGCTGATGTTCCTCCATCATTCTCCACCTCATATGTTCAGGTAGGGTCTCTCACTTAATCCCAGTGGCTCTGATTCAGCTGTCTAGCTAGCCACCTTGTTCCATAGGACCGATCTCTGCCTCCAGAATGCTGAGATTGTCAGCCCAGCACTTACAAGTGTGCTGGGGATCCACACTACAGTCCTCAATGGCCAATCACATAGTCATCACTTTACTCACTGAGTTTATCTCCTCAGCCCAGGATTCATAGTCAGGACTCTAACCACTGAGCTGTCTCCTCAGCCAAGGTGACAGGGCTTTTGCTAAGATCTCCAGACTAGCCTCCAATTCACAATCTTCCTGCCTCAGCTTCTGAAGTAGATGGGCTCACATTCTCTACTCTGATAAGTTCCAATGTTGCATTCCAAATTCATATATACTCACATCAACTTTATCCAATGCAGAATGATGTGAACTAATATTAATGAAATACCCTGTTCTGATACAACCCAAATCTACACAGCACTGGAGTTACAGAAAAACTTCAATTTAATCTTCTTGACATTGTTCTCTATTGTAAATCTAATCTAGGCCCCAAAATGAATACAAGATGCTGAAAATCTTGAAACCTTGGTATCTGTTCCCAGTTTGCAGCTGACAATAATTGGAATGCCAGAGGCTAGAAATCCTAGAAATCTCTATCTACATAAAACAGGGCAAATATTACAATTAAGTTGAACCAAAAAGCTCACCATATCACACCACAACAACCTGGTATCTCTAATTCTTCTTTTATATTCAAGGGTTACTTTAAAAAAGAAAGTGTCACATGACATGTAACCAACATCAAAGGCTAAAAGCCTACCCAAAACACTTCCCTCAACTTGCCCCCACACACAAATCAAATTTATCTAAAACCAGGGAAGCACAAAGCTACATTCTCTAAAAAGAAAGTTTTGTGGTTACTTCCTGTGAAGATAAACAGCTGACGGCTGGGGAGACAGCTCAGTGGGTCAAGTGCTTGCCACACAAGACTAAAGAACTGAGTTTGACTCCCCAAAACATATGTTTAAAAAAAGAAAAAGAAAACCGGGAGCACCACCATACCTATAATCCCAGCGCTGGGGAGACAGAGATGGGAGGGTCCCTAGGACTGCTGGCCAGCCAGTCTAGCCAAATCAGCAAGTCTGAGATTCAGTGAGAGACCCTCTCAAAAGACAAGGTAGGAAGCAACTGAGGAAGACATCCAATGACTATCTCTGGACACGCACGCACGCACACGCACGCGCGCGCGCGCACGCACACACACACACACACACTCACTCACTCAAACGGCTGAATCACCTAAGCAAAAAATTCTGAGTAAGCAAAACTTCCCAAGGTATTATTTTAAAATTACTTCATTTGCTGCCCAGTCAGGAAAGCTAACATCTAAGGGAGCCCTAAACAATCTATTTGGGTCACCAGGGTCCTTCAATTCACCCAGAACATAAAACTGTCAAAATCTAATGGCAAAAACATTAACGAAATCAAGTGCAGAGCTGTGCTTGTTTGCAAGCATTAACTTCAAATAAAGCTTACACCTAGAAAAGAGCAAAGACAACGTGTCCCTAAATTTCCTCTAAGTTCCCTCATTCTAAGCGTATCCTTCCTCTTCTTGGAAGGAGAATGGGATGCCAAATTAACAGTCAGAAGGCTAAGAACAGTTCGTTCCCAGAGGGTGCAAGAATTTACAATGCACACTTGGCAGGGAGCTCGGTGGGCGCGCACAACACAAACACACACACACACACACACACACACACACACACACACACACACCAATGTTCAGAGGAAGCTTCAAAAAATGTCACTGTGTAACTTAAGTTTTAAGGTCTTATTTAGGCCTAAATCCAGCCCTATCCCAGTACAATGCAAAACACAGCCTAAGAAAGGCTCCATTCTCCAAACCCAGACTTTCCTATAATGCTCGAAAGGGAAAAACCACGGATTCTGGACCCCCCCTCAGTAACTGCAGCCTCTCACGTGGAAGGCAGGCCAGCCCATGTGAATCCAAATGCCACCACATCAGTTTTGTGACAGATCCACTGGGAGCATCCGACTGTGATCCTGGGCCCCTCCAGCCCGCGGGAAGAGGAACACAAATGCAATCTTTGGGGCCCTCCTACTTCCGTTCTCAAAACAGAAATGCTGCCTTGGCTAGCCCTCAGACCCTGCACCTCTTCTAAAAGCTTCGACGAAAAGCAGAACAGACCGTGGCGGTCAAGGGTGGCTAGACTAGGTGGTTCAAAGCCCCCCACCCCGCCCCTACTCCATCGAATCCGCAGCCGACGCTTCCCTGGGGCCCCTGCCCCCTCCTCCCTGGCCGAGGGCCGCGGAGAAGCGGGAAGAGGAACTAAGTGACCCGCAAGGATGCCCAGAAAGCTGGCGCGCAGAGGGGGTGGGGAGGTGGGCGCCGACGCGCAGCGGAAGGAAGGGGAGAGGAAAAGCGCCAGAGAGGGACGCGACTTTCGCGATGCGGCGGTGCCCGGGCTCCGGGAGAGGCGGCGGTGAGCCAGGTCTGAAGAGGCGACGTCCCCTCTCGGCCACGCCTCGGATTGCGGGCGAAAGGCTGCGGCCCGCCCCGTCCGAAGGCGCGGACTTAGCGCCCGCGGTGCTCCCGGAGCTGGCTGGGGTTCCCGGGGTCCGCGGTGCACCCAGCATCTATCTACGGGTGTACCCGGGAGCGGACGATGCACCCGGGGTCGCTGGGTACTGCCGGGGTCTGGCGGGTGTTCCCGGGTCAGTCGGTGCCCCCGCACCCAGCGGGTATTACAGGGGCCAGCGAATGCTCCCGGGGTTGACAAGCGATCCCAGGGTCAGCGGCCGCTCCCCAGGACCGGCTCTCACGCCCCGCCGCCGGGAGATGCGGCTCCAGGAGGCACCAGGCGACACTGCGGGTTACCTGAAGCGGGGCGAGTCCTTCAGACACTCCTCGAAATCCACGGTCATCTTCATCTTGCCTCCGCCTGGCCTCGCAGGAGACGCCTGAAGAGCGGCGGGAGCTGCGGGAGCGGGCGAGCGGCGGCGGCGGCGGCGGCGGCACCGGGGATCCGGGCTACGTCTGCGAGCGCTCGGCCGCCTCTAGCGCTGCACGGAGCTGCTGAGGGCGCCGCGCACCCTGGGCATAGCAGCCGCGAAGACTGCAACGGCTCGTCAGGCCCAGGCCGCCTCTTCCTCCGCCCCAGCTGAGCGCCGGCCGGGGAAAACGCCCCGGAGTGACAACCGCCGCCAGCCAGCCACCGAGCCGCGGCCACGGGAGGGGCTTCCGGCAGCACCGCCCGCGGGAGGTGCACGGCCGCTGCGACAGCCAACCGCGGTGCGCGGGTGTCGTTAGGCGGGAATGCACGGGTTGCTAGGAGGCCGGCCACGCAGGCGCTCTGGGAAGGAAGTCACGTGGCCTGCCTCCCTCCCACCCCCACCTCCTCACCCCTCCCTCGGATCTAAAAGGAAGATGTACTCTTTAAAGCAGCGCTGGCAACAATCTGTAGAGGTCTGGGAGCAGAAACCATAAGGAGGAAAAAACTAGACTAAGCTTTTCAGTTTAGAGACTAAGGCTAGGAGAGGCTTGAGGGCACCTTTGATAACCTATCGCTTATTGGCTCCACCGCATAATTTGGAAATTTCTCTTACATACATCTTTTCTTCCTGGAAGAAAGTACAATGGCTAAACTATTTAAAATCACCCTTAAAAGTATGAGTGTATCTGTAAAAATGCAGAGACGGGATGTTTTAATCCAGTGGCTGTAAACACCTGGAGGCAACTTCTAGAGTTATCTCCTAACTTTCCCATTTTACACAGCACTGATCTGATACAGCTGTCCAGTTGACAGTGTCGCACAGTAAACATCCAGTAAGTGTGGTTGTTATGATTTCACTACTGCCTTCTTTACAGGTTAGTCAAAGGTCAAGCCTCACTCAGCCAGCACACTTTTGCTATCTGAAGTCTATAGGACCTTTGACCATTGCCTGTGTTAGAGAGTAATGCATGCTATTTTTTTGTAATCTCTTGTTACACCTTGATCTCTTCTGCACATTTACAAAGTACCAGAGGAATGTTGAAACTTTTCAAAGAACACATAAACATTGTATATGTATTTCTTTCTTTCTTACTTTCTTTTGATTGAATTCTACATCTCTATATTCTGCATAAGTCCACTTGATAGCTACAAACTATCTACTGTTAAAGCTTAGTGTCCTCAAATATATCAGTTGGTCAGGTTAATCTTTTCCAGGATTGTAACTTCTAAATTGCAACTTTATGGAAAGAATTAGCCATTTATACATTTAATTGCATTGATTTGTGACAACTAGTCAGCATATACAATAAGTCATTGTGTCAATGTTTCATCACTCTTTTGCAAGACCCTTAAAAGTGGTATTGGGGGGGTCAAATTCAGCTGTACAAGATATTAAATATGAAGCCATCCTGGGCTACATAGTGACATCCTGTGTCAAAAAAGCATAGACATAATAACAGAAACCCTGTGATGCTGACACCAACCCTGACAGGTAGAGTAGTGGAACCCAGGATGAAAACCACACACCTACACTACCAAATCTTTGACAAAGATGTCAAAAACATACTGGGATAAAATGACAGCCTCTTCAACAAATGGTGCTGAGGAACCTGGACATCTACATATAAAATAATGACCGTAGGGTCTGGAGTGATGTCCATAAGCTGCTTACCATACAATTACAAGGATCTGAATTTGATCCCTGGCACCCATGTTAAAAGCTAAATATGGTAGCATGTGCTGTAATCCTAAGGCTGGGGGGGGGGAGAGGCTGAGCTGGGGAGCTCCAGGCTCAATGAGGACTAATCTCCAAATATAAGATGAATAGCAGCTGGGAAGACATCCAACATCTACCTCTAGCACACACACATGCTGACACACATGCACACAGACACATGCATGTACCACAGACATACCCCACAAAGCTTCTACATGGCATATTTTTTTTCTTTAAAAAAAAACAGCAAAGGAAAGAGACAGCCTATAAAATGGGAAATATTTTTTGTCAATTATACACATGGCAGACATTAATATCCAGAATCTATACCAATAAATAAATAAATAAATAAATAAATAAACCCTCCAGGGTAAGCATAATGGCTAAATGCTGTTGCAAATTCATGTCCATACTCACACACTTGTGTGCATTACACACACACATAAACACACACACATATACACACACACACACACATACTAATTTTTATTTATTTTTAATGTATGTGTATATGGAAGTGTATACCTCCTGTGTTCTGGTATCTGAATTGCCCAGATAAGAGTCAAATCCACTGTAGCTGGAGTTGCAGGCAGTTATGGACTCTTTGATGTGGGTCCTGGGAACTGAACTTGGGTCCTCTGAAAAAAACAAGTGCTCTTAAGCATTGAGCCATCTCTCCTGCCCCAACACACCACACACACACACACACACACACACAATTTAAAAAGAGAAAAGCAAATTTTAATTAAAGGAAAACCCCATCCAAAAGTTAAACACCAAAAAGAAAAAAATTATATTAATAAATAGGATAATGGATTAAGTAATTTTCTTCCTTCTCAAAGGAAGAAATAAAATTACAAAAGTGCTCAGTACCCTAAGTCATTAAAGAAATGTAAATTAAAACTACACTGAGATTGTATTTCACCAGAGTCAAAATGATGATCAAGAAAACCAGCCACACTGGGTGTGGTAGCACATGCCTTTAATCCCAACACTTGACAGGCAGATCTCTGTGAGTTCAAGTCCAGGTTTGTATGCAGAGTGAGTTCCAGGAAAGGTAGGGCAGTTACAAAAAGAAACCCAGTTACAAAAAGAAACCCTGTCTGAGGGGAGAGAGAGAGAGAGAGAGAGAGAGAGAGAGAGAGAGAGAGAGAGAGAGAGAGAGAGGAGGAGGAGGAGGAGGAGGAGGAGGAGGAGGAGGAAGAAGAAGAAGAAGAAGAAGAAGAAGAAGAAGAAGAAGAAGAAGAAGAAGAAGAAGAAGAAACACGACAAATGCTAGTAAGGGTATGGGAAGAAAGGAGCCCTCATCCCTTATGCACCACTGGTAGGAATGTAAACTTGGTGCAGTCACCATAGAAGTCAGTATGGAGGTACCTCACATACTAAGTTAGACCATGATATGATGATTGATATATCTATACCACTCATAAGTACACCCATGAAAGATTCTAAGATAGCATACCACAGAGGTACCTGCACACCCATGTACTGCTTAACATAGCCAAGATAATGAAACTAGCCTGAAGGTCTATCAACAGATGAATAGAGGATAATAGAGAAATTATGATATTTGATTGTAAATATTAAAAATGAAGTCAAACTGTATGTATCATTATATCATTACACAATAATGAACTCCACATGAATCAAAGACCTCAGTATGAGACCTGAAAACATAGACAATACCTGACATAACTTAGGTGTAGACAAATAGGTCTTCAGAAAACTAAAAAAAAAGTTAAAAAGAAAAATAAAATGCTTGCACAGCTAAGAAAACAATCAATCAATCAAATGGAGAGGAGAGCCACCAGATAGCAGTGAACCTTTGCCATCCATCAGTCACACACCTGGCAGGGGATTAATACCAAAATATATGAAGAACTCTGAAAACAAAGAATTAAGAAAACAGACAACCCAATTAAAAAATAGAGTATGGATCTGAACAGGTTTCTCACAGGAAGAAATAAAAATGGCTAAGAAATATCTCCAAAAATGTTCATCATCCTTAGCAATCAGAGAAATGCAAATCAAAGTAACTTGGAGGTTTGATCTTACCCTAGTCAGAATGGCTAAGATCAACAAAACAACAACAAATGTAGGGAAGACTGTGGAGAAAGGAGAGCTCTGACTCACTGTTGGTGAGATTGTAAACCTGCACAAGCCACTCTCGAAATCAATGTGGAGAATTCTCAAAAAGCTAAAAATAAATCTACCATATGCCCAGCTGTAACATCCTTGGCTTATGCCCAAAGGACTTGACATCCTACTCCACAGATACTTACTTTGGAATATAGAAGAGAAATAATCCAGACTCGTAAAGACAAATACAGTATTTTCTTTCACAAGCAGAATCTACATTTAAATTTAAACGTTCATGTAGTTGTTCCTAGATCATGTATGGGGGTGGGTGTGCAGTAAAAAAAAAAAAAAAAAAAAAAAAAAAACACCAAAATGGCCGCTCCATGACTAGGGGGAAACATTTTTATTGTGGGCAAGACAGGAAAATATCCAGAAGCAGATAGAAAACAGTAGACTAGACATGGCCAGGGCTATTTGCAAGAGAAGGGAGGATAGCACAGAGGAAGGGGGGAACCTCGTCGATATGTGGGAGTGGAGAAGCCTGAGAGCTGAAGCAGGCCTGGGACTGAGGGTAGTAGAGGCAGAGGTGAGATGCTAACATTTACTGTGAAATGGATAATGGATACTTGTGAATAGGAGCTCTAGGATCTGTAGGCTAGCATGGACTTTGATATGCTGATAGCCACCACAGGTATGTCAATGGGGAACTATATGCCCCTTTTTGCCAGAAGCAAGGGATATGACTCCCTTTAGAGGATAGATGGGGACCTGTTTCATAAGTTCCTGAGGAATGCTGACTTTTATTTAACCACCTGAAATCCTTCTATACTCCAGCTGGGGGTGAGTCAAGACTGTCACTTCTGAACATATTGTTCCTGAAACATACCTAATATATATAGAAAGTAGAAATGGGGAGAGGACCAGGGGAAAACAAGAGAAGGTAATGGAATATATGTATGCTGGTAAGTTGTTTTGTTTTGTTTGTTTGTTTTTGTCAATTTGACACAAGCATAAGTCATCTGGGAAGAGGGATTGTCAATTGAGAAGTTGCCCAGGTGGTCCTGGGTTGTATAAGAAAGCAAGCCGAGCAGCAAGCCATGGAAAGCCTGCTTGCTTTCCTGCTTGTAAGCCAAGTTTCTCTATTCTCTCTGCTTCAGTTCCTGCCTCCAGGTTCTTGCCTTGGCTTCTCTTAATGGTGGGCTGTAACCTGTAAGCCACGTAAATACTTCCCTCCCTAAATTGCTCTTGGTCGTGGTGCTTTATTACAGCCACAGAAAGCAAAGTAGACAGAAATTGTTTCCAGAGAGTGGGTTCTTGCTGTGACAGCCATGGCCATATAGTTTCGCTGAGGACTGTGGAAATGCATGGAACTTTGGACTGGAAAGTCATTAGCACTCAAAGCTTAATGAGCCCTTCTATGGAACCTTGAAAGATAGATGGTGTTGAGAGAAA